TGATCACCGGCTGTGGGGATGGTCGTCTCGTGAATGCTGTGGAATTTAAAGCATTAAATGGCAGTAGGATGTTCGTCGATGTAGAGGTTGATGTGGTCGGAAGTTGTTACATTGCGTCAGATGTTCGACGATTAGATATATCTATATACTCCATCGAAATAATGTGTTTCGTGCTTCACTTCTGGGATCTGGCTGGTGCTTACCTAATCGAAAATTTACAGCACACCTGTCATAGCCCGTTGAACCACCATCCTTTTTAATATCTACCTATCTTTCGACCTCATACTTGGATTTTTGGCCAAGACGCCAGCAATAGATTGTAGACTCGTCTTGTCCATGCGCCATTCCTACCCCTCTTCCCCTTCACAAGCCAAGATGATTCTACTTTTTACTATGTATTTAAGGTAAATTATATTCTTGTTTCAAAAGGGCACTTGAAGTAATGTAGCTTGAAGGAAATTTGTCCTCTTGGGGAAAAAAGAAGATAAAAAAATACCGCTGAGAAAGTGTGTCCGAAATATAACCTTCATTTCGCAGAACACGAGCTTTGTTACGCATTTTCCTTTCACCCTGTAACAACAAATCGTTAGCCTTAGTCAGCGACGCTCTAGAATATTTTTTGTTGGAAGTCGTTCATCTTCTTTTCCTTTACCTACATGTGTAGTACTTTGCTCGTTTCTCGTAGGTATTTACTTTAATGGTGAACTTCATAGCTTACTTATCATTTCAGGCACTCTGTCCTTGCTTGCATTTTAAAAGTCATCTGTCGCACAATGCTTGTGGTCTATTACTTCCAAAATTGTCATGCTCTCATTTTAGGTCATCCCTGTCGCTTCGTTTGTAAATAAAATCGAAAGTGGTTGTTTTTTTCTCTGAATACTCTTTTCTGCTTCCAATAGGGAGTAAAACATGGATGGTGTTATAAGTCGCCTCCGTAACACTGTAACAGGAGCACTCCCCGGTAATCCTATAAGTCGTGATTTTGAACTGGATCGCCAAGTTGCCTCTTCGGGTCCGGGCTTGATGTGGAAGCTCTATTCTGCCACTAAGAAGTCATCAAAAGAGGTTTGTTTTCGTCTCTTAAAACGTATTTTTAGGCTGCGACTGTCTGGATTTTCGAAAAACGACTACTAGATCGTTATTCAAAGCCACAGAAGACTCTGATGCTGGAGAAACTTCGACACGGTGTATCTGCCTTGACCAAACTGCGCCACCCTCGAATCCTCTCCGTTATGCACCCACTCGAGGATTCCCGTGATAGTTTAGGGTTTGCTACCGAGCCAGTCTTCACTTCTCTCGCTAACGCTCTTGGACGTCATGATAACCTCACAGGTCCGATCATTGATAAGCTTAACGATTTTAAATTTACGGACATCGAACTTAAGTATGGCATACTACAGGTAGGTCACATGCGGAGATTCGGCATTTCGCTCCTCACTCATGCGTGAATCTCCTTTAATTAATCTTGTTTGCTGCTCGATTATTTTAGATTTGTGAGGCCCTCCTGTTTATCCATAAAGACGGCCGTCAAGTTCATTTAAATGTGGCGCCTGAGTCGGTTATAATTAACCGGATGGGATCTTGGAAGCTCTGTGGCTTCGAATTTTCCGCATCACTTCCAGCTAGCAGTGGGCAATCTGATGGTGAAGATGACAACGTTGATGTTCTATGCTGGCAGTCAACAGTGCTTCCTCTATGTCAACCTCAGCTTGACTACAGCAGTCCCGAAACTGTCATAAATGTGCGTTTATATCCGTTCCCTTATATTTTTTATTGTCTGCTTTACAGTTGTGTTCATAACTAGTATGCCATTATTACTGACATGTGAGATTAGTGCTGCTTTTTGTAAAGTATAAAAACGTTGAGTCCATTCAGGTGGTCTCATGCCGAAGAACCAATTTATTGAGAAAAATCTAGGTTTGTTGAGGTGAACGCCTCTTAAAAGTTGCACGATATAGTAACTAGGCCACTTCATTGCATTTTTGATATACAGAAGTCGTTTTACTCTGTTATTTTGAAGTGTTTTGCCGGCAAACACTTTAACTTGCAACCTTACTCTCAGAATTGTGTGAATTGTAGGGCCGGGCTTCTCCTTCCAGTGACATGTTCTCGGTGGGAATGTTGTTTTATGCCCTATACAACGATGGTCACAGCTTGTTTCCTTGCAAGGACAGTTATGCCTCATATAGAACCGGAGAAAAACAGGTGAGTTACCCTGTGACCTCTGGATGTCTTTTTTTTCGCGTAATTTTGCATTATTTGAACATATAAACGTTATTCAATCTGACGATCATGTCTTTGTTCTGTTCGGGTGCCTTGTCCTCATCAGACCTAAATATGGCTCATTTGGTCATTGTAAGGCCATTAAAAAATAGTTAGGGATAATTTTGGTGTCCATATTCTCCTAGTTAGGTATACCTATTGCGGGTTTACTGCATAGAACTGCCTCATAGTTGCGGTATCAAGTGTCTCAGTGAATTTATTGAGATTAGAAATTTGTTGAAGAATTGCCAAGCAACTACCGACAAAACCCAGGCTTCTGTGTAAATAATTCGGATGATCACAGCCAACCTCAGTAGAATAATTAAGTAGTGCGAACACTGAATAGTTTAGTAGTTTTCACCCAGTAGTATATTTTGATATTTCTTCAGTTCAGCACATGTACCAGCCAATGTCCAGACGCTCGACTCACCAATTTAGTGCCTCTGAGACGGGTGTATTCAGGTTTCTTGTATAACGTCTCTGTAGTGGTTATGACTGATGTATCCATACTCACCGATCCCCAGTTACCGGGCAGATCGGCTTTGGGAAATATAATATACTAATTCAACCACTTGCATATTTCGCAGTATTTGCCATAGGAGTCAAGCCTAAAATTTTAGTTAGACACCTCTTAGTTCCTGAGTTATAAATCAGCACTTATTGGGACGTTTTCTATGTGTGCAATTCCTCAAAAACTGACCCATGCGGGCGTGAACTTCATTTGTATGAAATAATGGCCGGATTGCGTACTGCAAACAAACTATGAGTGACTATCCCCTTCTCAATTGTACTTGCAGGTACTGCCTCTAGCTTTTTATCCTCTCTACAAGCTTTTCCGATAGTGCGTTGCTCAGCATTCATATAAACTGTCTTCGCCAGTCATCTAGTCGTCTGACATTTTGCAATATTGAGTGTTTGAAAATTGCAGAAATCCCCATTAAAAGAACAAGCTGGCGAACGTACGTTTGCTTTTGGATAATTTCTCTTTGGGCCTGTATATTTATCTCATTATTAACTAAGCAAAATATGCGGGTTGGTAGAAAAATCGTGCGGTTGCCAGAATCGAGAGAAAATAGGAAATTGGGGTCAGTAGTCTGACTAGCATCAGAGAGAACTGGCTGCCGCGAAGGGTGCTTAGCTGCAAGTAGTGGCCATGGTAATTGCAGTGTCTTTACGAAATTCTTTTGGCGCACAGGACCGGTTTGCAGTCGCTTCTGTCGTAGCTAGCATACGCTGCCCAACGAATTTTGAATAGCTTGAGGGCACCCTGTGCATCAACCGCAGTGATCTGGATCTACCATGTGCGCTAGAATGGAGCTTTTGATGTTCTTTATTCGGCCTTTTCCTCACTATACTGGAAGGTGTTATCGTACACTTTTGGATAAACACCGGCTCGTGTGACCAATATATTTTGCCCCACAGGAAAGGGTAAACAAAAAGATGCACATCGAGGTGGCCTAGACTGGCAGTTTGTCTTTACTTTCTCTGTGTAAGATAGGACCGGTCAAGGACAGTACCTGGGTGTCGGCTGCTGGAAGGGTGTTTGATACATCTTATCAAAGTG